TGTGTGTGTGTGTGTGTGTGTGTGTGTGTGTGTGTGTGTGTGTGTGTGTGTGTGTGTGTGTGTGTGTGTGTGTGTGTGTGTGTGTCCATTTGTGTGCACGCTGTGTTTTTTTTTTTATTTTATGTTGTTGTTGAAGCCGGCTCAGATTATTACAGGGAGTGGCACGAGCTCCTCCTTGTAGTAGTCTGCCCACTGGCTGCCCCGGTCTATTGGCGGGGGGCGTCGCCTGCTGGAAAGTGGGTTCAGCATCCCGTAGATGTCGCATTTGCTAGGTTTGTGGCTGCCTGTTGTCACCGATCATTGATAGATTAATGTATGTACTATTTTCTGGCTGCCCCGGTCCTGCACAATTGTGTGCATGTGCTTGTGTGCATGTGGCAAGTAGATATACAAAAGACTCGAAGAGAGTACGGACGAGTCTGTAGTCTCTTGCACAATTGAACATTGGTGCAGATATGGCAAGCTGCTATACACAATACCGAGATGCGTTTCGATTGTGTAGCCATTTCAGTTGCGCATCGAAATCAGCATCATACGATGAGGGGAAGTGTTATGAGACTGTCCAAGAAGACAGCAGCAGAAGTGTGAGAAAGTGGAGACGGAACTGAGGACACGAGGGGGTAGCGAAGTGTGACGAGGCCGGCAGCCGGGCAACCAAGCAAGCAGGCAAATTGACAGTGGGGCAGGGGAGGGGAGCAAGCAAGCAGGCAGGCAGCAGGAAGATGGGCAGGCAGGCAGGCAGGCGGTCATGCAGCAAGGCGGATCAGCAGGCAGCAATCAATGCCAGCCAGGTTTTAAACCGCCAGTACATTTCCCAGCTTTTTTTTTTTCTTTCTTTAAGTTTCGGCTTGCATGCTGATGCAACTTTGGGGCTCAGCCTCCGGAGCAAAATGGCAGTGGGGCAGGGGAGGGGGGCAGGCAGGCAGCAGGAAGACAGGTGGGCAGGCAGGCAGGCAGGCAGGCGGGCATGCAGCAAGGCGGATCAGCGGGCAGCAATCGATGCCAGCCAGGTCTTAAGCCGCCAGTACATTTCCCAGCTTTTTTTTTTTGTTTTTTTTTAAAGTTTCGGCGTGCATGCTGGTGCAACTTTTGGGGCTCGGCCTCCGGAGCAAAATGGCTGGCGGCACCAGCCAAAGGGAGGCTTGCACTGATTCTTTGTTTTTTGGCGCACAGGGCATTTCCAGCCCCGGAGAAGTGTGCCTCTGAAGTACTGGTGGTTTAGAGTTCCACAGGGCACAGTTCCACTTGTGGTGCCACCCTTGCACCACAAGTGGAACTGTGGAACTCTAGGTACCACAGGTGGAACTGTGGAAAATCCTAAATACGGACGAAGGGGCCCCAACTCAGGGCACACTCACAGTAGCAATAAATATTGCAAAATTGCAAAAAAATTGCGAGCCATTGGGTCGCACGTCCGTCGTATTTTGTGGATTCATGTATCGGGGTACGTATATGTCAGCGGCCTGGGGAGCCGAGGGCATATGTATTTTGTGCGCCCCTCTGAAGGTGAAGGTGCCACAAAATACAGAATTTTTTTTCTCTCTCTGTGATTTCTTTCCGCATTGACTATTAATTTTTTGTGCCGCATACCGAGTGACTGCACGGTGCGTAAATTTGCATTGGGCGACTGATTGTGGCTGTCTTTTCTCAGTTGCGGGAGAGCTGTATGACCAATAGGTGCCCCCTATTATATTGTAAAATCGTCAAAGCAAAATTTGCGATTTTAAACCACCAGTACTTGGCCCAGCTATAGGCCGTGGGCGTGTCCTGTTAACGCGCCGCATTTGGGGCATTTGGGGAGGGGGGGCGCATTTGGGGGGGTCGTTGACATGAACGGCCGGTCGGTGAGAATTGCAACGTAGAAAAGCAAGAACCAAAA